TCAGGATCACAAATATTAAAGAGGTCGTTTGGTTTGGTTTGGATGATGCTGTAGTATATTTTCAATGGAATGAGAGTAATATGGAGGACACTCTGCTATTTATAGGGACTGCCATTTCTCTGAATTAATCTCCATGAATCGGTCGTTTTAATTTTCATTGGAGGGTGAATACTTTGGGCCCATTGCCAGAGCTCTCAATAATTTTCCAGTGATATGTATGCCACATATCAGGGTTCAGTGTGTGTGCGTGCATATCCACTGTTTTCCACATTACCCATGTGTGCCAGTGTGCCAGAGTTTGTGGGTTTAAATATATTTCCTGGCATTGCAGGACATTTCCCCCATTCCAAAGGAAATGATAGTTCCTGCAGCTAAGAAGGATACCCTTTTATCATGAAAAACAAACAGATAAGGTCAGTTTTTGATCATCCAACTATTTTCAATAATCTCAAATACAAGCTGGGTTTAAATGCCATGTTAGGCTAGTGCTACTTTACAGAGCAAACATCCACACTGACATGATAGGTACTCACAGATTGCATTTGTAGCAACATGTGGAGCCATTTCTAATCTCTAGGTGATGTTAGTAAGAATATCAGGACTAAAATATTCTAATTGTAAAACTGAGTGCTCTCATCTTGCATGTTGCAACCTAAATACAGTAATGGGAAATAAATCACTGTCTTTTGAACATAAAGAGTTTTAAAATATGGCATTTCCATTTTCTTGATTGTGACAATTTTACTCTGGAACAAAACTTGTACAGTATGTGCATGTATGTGTGCATGGCCCAGAGCAAACACTGTAAAATCACATGTCCTTATATATCTGTGCATGTGTTTGGCAGCGAGACTGTGGTTAGTCCTTTGATGTTGATGTTCTCAGGAGTTGCAGGCACCAGTAAAGAGTAAGTTCGTGTAAGCACAGCTTCCTCACACAGTGGGAAACAGAGCAGGGTAAAACCTCCAATTCACTTACACAAACACCAGATATCAAGTGCACACAGAGGTTATGAGGCAAAATATGTTTTAAGGAAATACATAATTCTCATTACAAAATTTACACTGTGGTCTAAAATTAAAAAAACATTTCATTTAAACCAGGAAACAGAGTTTACTAGCTTGGGGTAAAACATAAAACAAATATAATACATGTTGCATGTGAAATTAAATATATGTTGACATAGAAATATTTTATATAAAAAAAACAGAATCATTTAATCCAGGAAATATTTTTTTTGATTCTGAAAAGTAAGACAAATATTATAAATGTTGTGTGTGAAATTAAATATATACAGTATATTCAATATTCTAAAATTCAGAAATGATTCATTTAATTAAATATATATTGAAGTAGACATATTCTGCACTCTTCCTATCATGCTGGAAAACATGACAAAGCCTGTGGAGTTGTTGTAGCTTGAAAGCTGCTGTCATTAAAGCAAAATAGAGACAAACTGAATACTAAGACATTAATAAATTCATGTTAATTTTACATGAAACAACTAAAAAAAATTATTATTTGATAAAAAATGTAAATAGTTTTTTTTCACTTGTGTTCATAAGGTTGCTTCCACCATGGGAGGGACAAATGATGTGAATCAACTAACCTAGTTTTTTCATTATTATTAATACAATAATAAATGTAAACAATAGCTGGATGAAAAGTCAGGCTCAGAGAGCAGATCTCACTGCGCCTTGATGGCCTTGTACATGCTATTCTGGGCAGCCATTTTGAGAGCAGCACTCCTAGGAAAACACCCAAGTCTGTGTGAGCATTGTTTCCTCAGGCCCAAGTGTTCACACCCACACATACACAAAAATACAAACGCATGGAACCCAAAATGCACACGCTAGTAGAAAAAAAAGCTAATCTTGTTCACAGAGGCTGAAATGCATTGTCCTGTTTTCTCAGACGCACACAAATAACTGGAGATACGAGTACATTGTCTCATCAGGGTCTCTGAGAAACAGATACAGGAAGAGAGGGGTCACAAAAGATCGGTGCAGTCTTGTGCATGCAAACACGCACACGTAAATGTTGTTTTTAACTGGCAAGAGTGTTTATTTTTAAAAACTAATTACATTAATGGATGTGTAACCAAATAATATAATCATAATGGCAAAATACTGACATTTTTCAATAGAGAAAGAAGGCCCTCATTATAAACTGTACAATCAAAAGGCCAACCGAGAAACAAAGCTGAGAAAACAAAACTCAGACAGACTGTTCGTTGCTTGGGGGAGAACAAGTCTGGTCACGATTCGTTTAAAGACAATGCAAAAGATGAAGACAAAAAAAAAAGGGAAACATTCACACACTCAATTGTCTGACATTCCAGTTGCTATTTCCTGTGCGGTAGGAAGAGGGCATGCCTTTGCTCAGGAAGTGTAGTGGACACTCTGAGAGACCACTCTTGCTCCGCAGTCTGTGTAAACATGATTGTATTGCTAAGGCTTTCTTGATAAAAGAAATAGTTAACAGTTCAAATGAGTTAGTGGTTCCTTTACGCGTACAATTACGAAAGAAGCGATAATGGTGCACCTCAATCGAAGCTCGACAGCCAATTTAAGAGTTTGTTGTTTTTGGATGATGCAGTCATGTGGTTGCGATACAGGAGTCATTATGAGTAATGGCAGGAAAAACATAATATGGGATGAAACGTTAGAAGGTTGCTACTCATTTTAGGTAGGAAATTGGCCTTTGGCTGTTCTGTCGCATGAGCATGAAATGAACGTTCGCAAAAAATGAAAATTGGTCATCATTTATGCACATTCATGTTGTTCTAAACCTGTATGACTTTCTAAGGAACAAAAATATATATATATATATATATATATATATATATATATATATATATATATATATATATATACTGTATGTATATATATATATATATATATTTAATTTGACTTATTCAACTTGACTTTTGTTAATTACACCAATCAAAATAATCTATTCTAACTGCAGTTTCAATTAGTCATTTCTGCTGAAAGTGTTTTTGGATCATGACAAGATCCTAGTTGTAGTATTGTAGAGTTTATTTACCATCACAGCAGTGTGCTCCAGGGGAATGTCCACAAAAGTCGTAATATTTATTGGCACACCACAACTGTCTATCTGCTGTGGGAACCTGTCAGGAGAAGCATGGGTGGGACCATTGTTGCATTAGTTTGTCGAAGGAGAGGTTAAGCACGTTATATCCACAAATGTCAGATCTTCAATGTTGTGTGGACATAACAAAAGTCAGATGACTGGGGTGAGGATAAGTATGAGTGCTTGCAAGGATCAAATTAAATCTGATTCGTTTTGAGTCAGTGATGCCAACAAATGCACAAAAACAACAACAACAACAACACCAGACAGATAAGTTACTGTAACTAACCCCAGAGGTGGAGCATTGTCATAGTGGAGCTGGTCCTCTTTGTTGCCTGCATAGAATGCTTTTTTAGATGTCACACTGATGTGAGGAGCCCCTGATTCCTCTTCCATCTCTCCGTTTGTCAATGGGATGTAGTCCTTTCCATCCTAAAACACAGGTAACAAATGAAAGTTCAATTAAAAGATTTAAATTTAGTCACATGACAAATGTTTAATTACATGCTGCAAAATGTCACTTTATTTCTATTTTTGTCTTGTTTTCCAATTTAAAAAAAACTAAAACCATCCAAGAAAATAATCTAACCATCCTATCTAACCAACAAAACAATTTACACGAGATGTGAAATTGTATAAGATATATTTTTAAGAGAATATATCTTGAATCTTACATCTAACTACATTTGATTAAAAAAAATTAAGTAAAAACGTTTAAAACTTACAATTGTTTTCGTTAACTGAAATACAGCTGAAATTAACAAATTAAAACAAAAAAAAAATTTATAAATGAAAATTATAAAAGTTGCCTTGGCAACTAACTGAAATAAATAAGTTGGAGTACTTAAATTACTAAAACTAAAATGAAAATTAAAGGTGAATAGAAATACAAAAAACTGATATATTAAAATGACAAAAACACAAAAAATAAAATGAAAACTGAAAATATAAACAAAGCTAATTCTAATTATTAAGAAATAATATAATAGTATTTATATAATACTAAAATAGCACTGGTTTAGGTTTGGAAAAACAGGAGAAAACTATTTGCTAATGGACCAAAGAAAATAATAATTCAGAATATAAATGAAAAAAAGTCTTAATATCTTATATTAATTTACTTCTCAAGTAAATGTATCTTGTTTTAAAGATGTTTAGATATTTTTAATGGAAAACAAGACACAAATATTTATTTATTTAGCCATGTCTCAATTACTAAACACACATGAATGAGGCAAAACATATACTTGGAGTCAAGTCTAACCTGTTGAGCGCTAGCTTGTAGCAGATTGCCCAGATGTTCAACTAACTGCGTAAAGGTCGGCCTGTCTTTAGGTCGATCAAGCCAGCAATCCAGCATGGTCTGGTATCTGGAAGAATTTCACATTAACAAGGAAGAGATGGGGTTCATCTGCTATATAAACAGTATGAAATAGTATGAAAGTACTTCTATATTTCCAGCAAAATTAAACAAAATTGTAGGTACTACTACTTTTGCCCATTTTCCATTGGAAACTAGATGACTGCCTGTTTTCACAGACCTTTAATTTTACACCAATATTAAAAGTGTGAAGTATATTTACATCTCAGGTGTGGCATAGTCTGGAGCTCTCATTCTGGTTCCCACCTTTAGTCGCCTCCACCTTCAATACCACGACTGAGGTGCCCTTGAGCAAGGCACCGAACCCCCAACTGCTCCCCGGGCGCCGCAGCATAAATGGCTGCCCACTGCTCCGGGTGTGTGTTCACGGTTTGTGTGTGTTCACTGCTGTGTGTGTGCACTTTGGATGGGTAAATGCAGAGCACTAATTCTGAGTATGGGTCACCATACTTTTCACTTAAATATTAATGACCACAGTATACACACACAAGCAGACCATGGTGGTGTGTTTCAGTTTTACCTTTCGAGAGGCTAGGAAGTCCATGCCTTTGGCCACTTGGAAGCTATAGCTGATGAGATCCTCCATCGTCAAATGATCCCAGTCTGAACTCTCTATACATCAGCAGATGACACAATAAATATATATATATTTTTTTTTAATTTGAAGATTTTAGGTTAACATTTACTGTTAGTTTTATCCATTAATTTTATTTTTGAAATATTTTATATTTATATATATATTTTTTTAATTAATTTACAGTGTGACAAATTTGTATTTAAAAGTACAAATATTATATATTTTTTCAAATAATATGAGCTTATTAAAGCTTATGCGGTTTAATTAATTTTATTTGAACTTTTTATTCATTTTTAGTGCGACAAAATTTTTTTTTACAACTATTCCATCTATTTTCTCAAATATGAGCTCATTAAAGCTGCCTAATAATGCGAATAATTATTATTATTGATAAAATTATAATATGGTTTGTTTATTCATTTATCTATTTATTTATTTTATGTTTTGCAGTTTTTATTATAAAAATACAAATGTTTCATTTATTAATTTACAATGTGACAAATTCTTAAATGCTGTAGGTTCTTAAAGAATGAGCTCATTAAAGCTGCTTAATCATTTGAATAATTAGTATCAATAATAAAATAATCATGCTGTTTATTTGTTTATTTATTTATTCATCTAAATAAGTTTTAGATGGAGTATAGCATTTAGATGGAGTTGACAGCACAAGACATGTCAACTTCCCAAGTGTATTTCATGGCCTAAAATATATGCTTCATGTGGTAACATCTGAATGAACTAAACTTAAACATTTGATTCAGTTTCCATAACTTTGTTAAATGTGCCATTTTTGTCTTCGTCCAGAGACAGTACAGAGTATCCAACAGACTAATATACTGTACCTTGTTCATCCTGCAGCTGGGTCGTGGAGGTCTGTTCTCCCATCCTGGTGCACACAGCGGTGCCGGTGCAGATGTCCAGCCGAGTGCTGATTCCCAGACCCAGATCCCCCTCATGCAAATCCTCTTCCTGCTGTACCTCCCTCCCGCACGGCATCAGTGACATTCGCTTCTGAGAAACAAAACACACGTGGATCAGTTTATGTTGCTGTCAGGGTCAAGAAGTGCCAATATGTCAGGTACACTTCATAACACTTTTAACCTTGAACAACATTTAAAGGCCTTACAGTTGACAGTTTCCCAATGTCTTACGTAAGGCACTTGAATCAATCTGACCACATCAGAGGACATTGTTAAAAAAGGAGCTGAGATCTTCAAAACCACATCACAGCCTGACTTTACTAGTAGCACTAGGTTATGATGGAATTTACCTTGAAGGGACTGTACTCTCCTCGCTTGCTTTTTAAATAGCTTGAGAGATTACCGTGTTTACAGTTATATATATATATATATATATATATTTAATTTGACTTATTCAACTTGACTTTTGTTAATTACACCAATCAAAATAATCTATTCTAACTGCAGTTTCAATTAGTCATTTCTGCTGAAAGTGTTTTTGGATCATGACAAGATCCTAGTTGTAGTATTGTAGAGTTTATTTACCATCACAGCAGTGTGCTCCAGGGGAATGTCCACAAAAGTCGTAATATTTATTGGCACACCACAACTGTCTATCTGCTGTGGGAACCTGTCAGGAGAAGCATGGGTGGGACCATTGTTGCATTAGTTTGTCGAAGGAGAGGTTAAGCACGTTATATCCACAAATGTCAGATCTTCAATGTTGTGTGGACATAACAAAAGTCAGATGACTGGGGTGAGGATAAGTATGAGTGCTTGCAAGGATCAAATTAAATCTGATTCGTTTTGAGTCAGTGATGCCAACAAATGCACAAAAACAACAACAACAACAACACCAGACAGATAAGTTACTGTAACTAACCCCAGAGGTGGAGCATTGTCATAGTGGAGCTGGTCCTCTTTGTTGCCTGCATAGAATGCTTTTTTAGATGTCACACTGATGTGAGGAGCCCCTGATTCCTCTTCCATCTCTCCGTTTGTCAATGGGATGTAGTCCTTTCCATCCTAAAACACAGGTAACAAATGAAAGTTCAATTAAAAGATTTAAATTTAGTCACATGACAAATGTTTAATTACATGCTGCAAAATGTCACTTTATTTCTATTTTTGTCTTGTTTTCCAATTTAAAAAAAACTAAAACCATCCAAGAAAATAATCTAACCATCCTATCTAACCAACAAAACAATTTACACGAGATGTGAAATTGTATAAGATATATTTTTAAGAGAATATATCTTGAATCTTACATCTAACTACATTTGATTAAAAAAAATTAAAACTTACAATTGTTTTCATTAACTGAAATACAGCTGAAATTAACAAATTAAAACAAAAAAAAAATTTATAAATGAAAATTATAAAAGTTGCCTTGGCAACTAACTGAAATAAATAAGTTGGAGTACTTAAATTACTAAAACTAAAATGAAAATTAAAGGTGAATAGAAATACAAAAAACTGATATATTAAAATGACAAAAACACAAAAAATAAAATGAAAACTGAAAATATAAACAAAGCTAATTCTAATTATTAAGAAATAATATAATAGTATTTATATAATACTAAAATAACACTGGTTTAGGTTTGGAAAAACAGGAGAAAACTATTTGCTAATGGACCAAAGAAAATAATAATTCAGAATATAAATGAAAAAAAGTCTTAATATCTTATATTAATTTACTTCTCAAGTAAATGTATCTTGTTTTAAAGATGTTTAGATATTTTTAATGGAAAACAAGACACAAATATTTATTTATTTAGCCATGTCTCAATTACTAAACACACATGAATGAGGCAAAACATATACTTGGAGTCAAGTCTAACCTGTTGAGCGCTAGCTTGTAGCAGATTGCCCAGATGTTCAACTAACTGCGTAAAGGTCGGCCTGTCTTTAGGTCGATCAAGCCAGCAATCCAGCATGGTCTGGTATCTGGAAGAATTTCACATTAACAAGGAAGAGATGGGGTAGATTACATTTTCAGGTTTCAGTCAGTTGCTACATCTCTCATTTCAATAATAAGAATAGGGTCCATCTGCTATATAAACAGTATGAAATAGTATGAAAGTACTTCTATATTTCCAGCAAAATTAAACAAAATTGTAGGTACTACTACTTTTGCCCATTTTCCATTGGAAACTAGATGACTGCCTGTTTTCACAGACCTTTAATTTTACACCAATATTAAAAGTGTGAAGTATATTTACATCTCAGGTGTGGCATAGTCTGGAGCTCTCATTCTGGTTCCCACCTTTAGTCGCCTGCAGAAAGACTCATCAATGCACACACCTGGGTATGGAGATGCACCTGCACCAAAGAAGATGGGCCATCAACACATGTCACCCTACTAAAGTAGTTTTATGCTTGTCTAATGAGCTCACTGATAATGTTAATATCAATATTGTGTTACCAAGTGAGAAGATCTCCCAGAGCAGCACACCAAATGACCAAACATCACTCTGTGTGGTGTACACGCGGTCAAAGATGGTCTCAGGAGCCATCCACTTCAGAGGAAGACGAGCCTGTGATGATAGAGAGGAAATGCTCAAGCATAACTTAGTCTTTTTCGCTGAACAACTGAAATTAAGTTGTCTGTGTGTGTAGTAAGAGTCCTCACATCTCCTTTGCGGACGTAATCAGGGTCTTTATAAACATCTCTGGCCAGCCCAAAGTCACATATCTTCACCACGTTGTTTTCAGAAAGTAGGATGTTTCTGGCTGCCAAGTCCCGATGGATACACTACAAACACAAAATAGCATTATGACTGAAGCAATCATCTTGAATGAATTGTAAATTCAGGGGAAGTCGTGGCCTAATGGTTAGAGAGTCGGACTCATAACCCAAAGGTTGTGGGTTCGAGTCTCGTACCGGCAGGGATTGTAGGTGGGGGGAGTGAATGTACAGCGCTCTCTCCCACCTTCAATACCACGACTGAGGTGCCCTTGAGCAAGGCACCGAACCCCCAACTGCTCCCCGGGCGCCGCAGCATAAATGGCTGCCCACTGCTCCGGGTGTGTGTTCACGGTTTGTGTGTGTTCACTGCTGTGTGTGTGCACTTTGGATGGGTAAATGCAGAGCACTAATTCTGAGTATGGGTCACCATACTTTTCACTATGTCAC